CCCCCCCCGAGACTGGAGCGGGAAGGGGAGGAGAATTGGGAGGCATGGGTGCAGTTGCAACAGGATGACGAGAAGGCTGAGGCTGAGGGGAGGGAGCTACAGGCCCTCCACGACTGGTGGAAGGGTGTGTCGGAGGATGTAGAGTTGTAAAATAAATGAATGAGTAATCACAACAATGCGTGCTGTAGTTATTCGTTACCTGTCGACTGATTGTGAGACCTGTACCTGGGGAGCGTAGAATATTAAGTAAAGCCACGATGCAAAGAGCGGAGAGAAGCAGATACTAAGCAAGGTCATTGCAGCACACACAAGGCCCTTCCAGGTGGGGCCACGAGGAGGCGCTCCACGATTAGCGTTGGCTAATCCAACACTAACCGCCCCTACCCTGTCCTTCTCCATCAAAAATAAAGGAAGATAATGAGTGAAGAATTAAGTGTTACAAAAACTTCTTGACTTAGTATAGTATATATAGTATGTACTGTGGTTTTGCCAAATTATTTCTTCTTACTATATGTTCATCATCGAACATTTATTAATGATGCTTTACAGCTTCAATGCTGCATTTCTTCAATTGTGATTTGACAAAATCCCTCCTTACTGTAAATAAAAGTTGGAATTTTCCAACAAAATTCTTTCTGAATAGTTTGGAAACGCGATTTTTCAAACAGTTATCGCGATTTTCCAAACAGTTGTTGGAAAACAAAAGTCCCAGTCAACTTTTTGGAAAGTTGGATATTCAAAAAATATATTCAAAAATGTTAGTCAAAGGTTTTTGAGAGATCTCAAAAAAGTTTCGAAATTTCCAAGTAGTTCTAGAAATTGTGTTTCCAAATTGTTTGGATTACAAATTTTCCAAACTGTTAGGGCTGCAAATTTTCCAGTTCATTGTTCGGAAATTTCCAGCAAAACTTTTTACGGTGCATCGTTCAGGTACAATAAAATCAGTTAATTGGATTAGTTTTTATATCTTGCAACTTTTCTTTTCACTCGGGCATTCCACCAAATTTTGTTGCTTCAAGGTTCTTGCGTCTGGGCGTGAAATCAATGTTGAGGAATTTGAAAAATACGCTCTCTCCTGTGCCCGAGACCTAGTGCGCCTGTATGACTGGTACCCTTTGCCACCGAGCGTGCATAAAGTCTTGATACATGGAGGTGCAATTATAAGAGCTGCTGAGCTCCCTATCGGACTTTATGGAGAGGAGGCTCAAGGATGCAGAAATAAGCACTTGAGGTTATCTTACGCTTAGGCAATGAACCTATCTCAAAAACGTGATTTTATTTGCCTTTTGTTGTGCAGGGCCTATCGTACTAAACATTCACCACAGTGAGAGTAAACGTGTTTCTTCCGAAGCATTCATCAAATGGGTGATGTCACGGCTCGCTGGAGTGGCAGCTATTGTGTTCTACAGCCAACCTGAGGCCCTAGAAGAAAAGTTCCCACAGGTTGAATACTCTG